ACGGAGCACAGTTTTATTTTGACTTGCTGCCATTTCGTCAATGGCGTATTTTTGATATTCCGCCTTGTGATCCTTGACAATTCTTAATAATTGTACTTTCAGCATTGCTTCTTCAAAGTTGATATTTTTCGAGCGGAGCCAATTTTGAACATCAACTTTCCTTGAAGCCGTTGTTGGGACCTTCTCCATTCTTCGAGAATGATAAGGCGCATTATCCAACACAATTACTGCGTTTTCCTCTAAGTTCGGTAAAATTTTTGAAAACCACTGTTCAAACGATTCGCCATTCATTTCCTCGTGGTAATCTCCAGTTTTCTTAGACTCAAAGCACCACAGACCGTCAACAATAAATCCATCCTCACTGCCAATATGGCAGATAATGAGCCTTTTCCCTTTACCTGGAAATCGAAGTACTAACTGGTGTAGATTTATTTCAATAAGCGAACCTTTTTCAAATGTTTTCATCACATTCAGCGAAAAAACATTGAGACATGAGTATCAGATTGCTATAATTGGGATTATTTAGTCACATTGAAAGAAAGAATATTGAACGTCGTATGATTACTCAGCGCTTCACAATTTAATTTAAAGTTATAAACCTTTAAAAAATGAATGATCAGGAACCTGAAATACGCGCAAATATTAATATTAACAAATTATAACTTTATAAAGCTTAAAGTATGAATTAAAATGATTAGAAATATTAGGAACGGTACACAATATGAAACTTAGTAACTTTTTTTAAGTTTATAATATCCGACATATTTTAAGATTATATTAAAAAATTATTGAATTATCGAAAACACATAAAAACATGGCTTAAAAAAGTTCTAACAAATGAAAATGACAATAAAACATCCACGCATTTTATCGAAAAAAATATAAAAGTTTTGTTACTTGTAATATGTTTTATCTGCCCCCTGGAATTAATGTTTAGAACCTTGTTCCCAAGGTTTGAAAAACATCCGATTGTTGTCTTTTACTCGTATTAACCTGCTGGATTTTTTAATCCGGTAGACAGTCCATCTAGAAAGGCCCTCCTGGATGAAGTTACAGAATCATCAACCCATACTTTACTTGTAGTGTGTCCTGCGTTTACCCACGTTTCATCAAGGTAATAAATCTTCCTGTTTTGATTTCTATATTTCCCAATTTTTGTTAAATAATCCCTCCTCCATAGCACAATTTCTTCTCTATCCAGTAGTAAACTATTACGACCCCGTTTTTTCCATTTGAAATTTAAATGCTTCAGTAACGCATGGAAAGTTGATCGTTTGAAATTTGGCAACGTTGTATCTCCATTTACCTCCTGCAGTACTTTATCTATAGTAGGTATTTCATTCCTAAAGAAGAATTCATGCACTTTCCTCCTAATCGCATGCTTATCAGCTTCATCCAATGATTTAACAATACTTTTGCGATGTTTACTGGTCATTGGCTCAGAAAAGGTGTGATTTTTTTTGTATTGTCTTAACACATTAAACACTGATGCGCGACACACCCCAACTTTGTGAGAAACCTTCACAACAATTTCTTTGATGGTTGATGCCTCGTTCTCCTCGCGCTCGATCTTATATATATTCAAAATGACCTCTTTCATTTCTGCACTCAGGTGTCTTTTTTTAGAGCGTTTCCTAGGTGGACTACAGGAGTTTACAACTTCATCGGCAGTATCTGTACTACTGGGCATTTTGCGCAAGCAGTTGATAACAATAACAATCAATAACAAGGTATAACAATAACAACGACAAACTCAACAACTTAATAAGATAACAAACGAAAACGTCCAAAGAAATATCAAATTGCAATGATGCACACGACATACGTAACACGTCTGAACCTGAATGTGACTCTGCCTTGATACGACTGCTCTGCCGCTCGGCATAGGCATTTAATTGCGAATTGACCAATGAGGGCTCCTGTTTTACATCGAGACGGCGGCGTTAGCGTGAAAATCACCCGAACCTTTTGTTTACATCAGGTCTATCTCTTATCTGAATATACTTTAGGTACCATGAGTATTACCGCCGTTCCGTTCGAGGAGCTTGTTTCTGCACACCATATGACCAAGTCCTTTGCCGCTATCAATCGCACATTTCAGGTAAGAGATATTGTAAACCATGACATGCTGCTACCAATATAGCCGGTTCCTCATCTTTTGTGACACTTTTATATTATCACCTATATCCAAAAGCGTTACTTTTAGCCGTTAAATATCCTCCAGTTGCGATAAGCCCCATCTTTGCTCGCAAATGGGAAGTGAAAAGGATAAAGATACACACACCAGCGAAGTTATCAATAATCCCCATGGGAATGCGTGTTTTATTGCCGAGGAAGGTAGGAGCAGATGAAACTTATGCGTGCTAAGCGAAACCGCCACGAACGCAGAGCAGTTTTATAGGAAGGCAACCCTAACAACAAATTACTTTTCGGCTATATATCCGTCGTAAAGGGCCATTCCAGGTATGGGGGAAGTCTGCGAGATCGACAAAGTTAGACACAGGTGACGCTATTTGAGCTGCGGTTCTATTTGGGGCTCATAAAACGATGTTTATCAGATTATGAGCATTGCTTTATTGCTGTCGCAGCGAATGGTATGTGGTATCAGAGGCGAAATAAAGACAGCTTACCCTAATTCAAGTCAAGTCACAAACCACATTGCCTCACTTGCTTTCATCAATTCGGTTTGTAAAAAAATGGATGTCGTAGGCTGACCCTGCACTTCCCACGCTACGCTGTGTTAGTTCATGAAGGATTATGTCAGTCCATCTGAGAAAAGTAGGACACGATCACGTATAAAAAATCAAATGGATCAGGTCAGTCAAACAGGCTAATACAGTTAGTCCATAGTCCCTATACCCATTTGACAACGCTCCGATCTAGAAGTTTCTCCCCTGTTCTACTGACAGTACTGGCCATCTGGAAACCTTGCTATGACTAATCTCGCTACCCGCCAGCCACGGTCAAACTGCGACGTAGGTATATCCAGAGACGACGATGACGTGTGAAATATACTAAGTGACATATAAATCCGAACACCCAGTTTAAATCGTTTTATTTTAATACAAGTTGGTGAATGTATTTATCTTACTGTAAATAACAAGTGAAAAAATTTTCAACCTTATCAGTTGGACATTCCGGTTTTTATACTGCTTTTTTTTAATTCACTAACGCTCTAAAAATGAATATTTCAGCCGCAGTAAAGAATCAACGTTGGCGGATTTTGGTTCTTGACATCCTTTACGATCGGTTACGATGCCTAGAGTACGGAGACCTGTACGATTTCGTCAACTTAGTGAGTTTGATAGGGGCCGTATAGTGGGACTTCGGGAAGCTGGACTTTCTTTTCGGGCAATTGCAGTTAGAGTGCAAAGAAGTGTAGACACTGTGGTTAGGTGTTGTCAGGCATGGCTTCGAGAAGGCCGTACGCAAAGAGCAAGGGGCACTGGACGCCGCCGTAGAACAACAGACCGTGAAGATCGCCGCCTAAGATTATTGGCCTTAAGGGGCCGTTTCTCCACTACCAGGTCCATTGCAAATGAATGGTTTGCAGAACACGGAAGACCTATTGACATGCGAAGTGTTCACCGACGAATGAGAAGTTTTGGCTTGTTTTCATACCGGCCACACTGGGTCCTCCCTTTAACTCGAGAACACCGACGTAATTGCCTTGAGTGGTGCAGACAACGGTCACTCTGGGATCAGGAATGGAACAGTATTGTCTTTAGTGACGAGTCTCGATTTTGTTTAGGCATGCACGATGATCGTGCCAGGGTTAGAAGGCGACGTGGTGAAAGGAGGAATCCACAGTTTTTTGTTGAAGGACATGTTCATCACACTGTTGGAGTTATCGTTTGGGGTGCTATAGCTTATGGTTCCAGGTCACCTTTAATCTTCATCAGAGGTAACATGAACGCACAGCGCTATATCCACGAAGTTCTAGAACCCCATCTTTTACCCTATCTTGACACCCTGGCAGATCCAACTTTCCAACAAGATAATGCCCGACCACATGTTGCAAGAGTCACAATAGACTTCTTTCAACATAATGATGTCACATTGTTACCATGGCCACCAAGATCTCCCGACTTATCCCCAATTGAGCACGTGTGGGATATGATGGGTAGGAGATTGCTCAATTTGCAACGTCCTCCTCAGACTCGAGAAGCACTTCGAGAGGAGTTGGTGGTTGCCTGGAATGAGATACCACAGGAGGACATTGACCACCTGATCAGAAGCATGCCTAGGCGCGTTGGAGAATGCGTAGCACATCAGGGTGCATCCACAGATTATTAAAGGTCAAAGGGCTTTAAAGCAGTGCAATCATTTTGAAATTTTTATCATTTACTTATTATGCTTCATTAAGTACTTATACAAAATTTTATTAAAGTGAAACCATTTAAACTGGGTGTTCGGATTTATATGTCACTTAGTATATATCTAATAGGCGCGAAGAATTATCGTGGCTGGAAAGTATAAATATACTATTGCATTACCACTACAATACCAACTCCTAATTTTTAATTCATATAAAAATTTCTTTTGAAAATGATCAGGAGCCTCTGAAGTGCCAAAAGACGAGGTTTGAGCTATTTTTATTTCATAATTTTTTAGACTGATTTTCAAAAACGCCCGATTGCTCCAAATCGGGTATAATATTTATGTGAATTTCAAATAATTCTGTTTCTAGTGAAGGAAAAATAATTCTGTCATAACTGTCTTCAACATTGTTTAGATTCTCAATGTTTCTATTACTGCGTGAGGTAACTGGGAAATTATACATTTGTACAATTGAGGAACTATATATCAATACAAGAACTGATAGTTCTTCGTGAAAACAAGATACACATATAAGATATCAGAAATCAAGAAGAGATGGTTCCATTTCGACATATGTAGGTGTGTTGGGGACATCAAAGGCTTATTTAGCAGATAACGGGCTTATTTTTACCAGAGATGTCTTTTAAGTTTTGCATATGGAAACCAAACAACACGGTAGGTAGTTTTAAATGACTTTATTGTTTTTCGAAGTATTCTCCACGAAGATTAATACACATCTGCATGCGCTCGAACCAATTTTCGAAGCACTTCGCTTGCTGGCAGATCCAAAACGGCCTTTTGAATGCGTCAACTACTTCTTCTGGTGACTGGTACCTTTGACCACGCAGTCTGTTTTTAATTTTCGGGAAAGTAAAGAAATCGTTAGGACTTAGATCGGGACTATATGGAGGATGGTCCAATAATTCCACGATTTCTTCCGTTAAATACTGCCTTGTTTTTGGGGGTTTGTGCGAGCCTGCATTGTCTTGGTGGAGGATTATTCTTCTTTCGGGGTTGAGTTTTCGAAGCTCGGTGATGACTTTTGGCAAACAAATGGTGGTATACCAATCCGCAGTAACAGTTCTTTGCTCATTAAGAGGAATTGTTGGAATATGAATCTGATTTGTCTCTGAAAGTTGTAATAAATTATGGCGCGAAAATGTTCTCGGTTGAGTTCCATTTTTCTAATGACTTGGTGATACTTAAAAATTCACTGTAGTGAGAACACTGCATGTATTGTTGTGAAACTTTGAATTTAAGTTTACCAAAGAGTGAGGTTAAGATTCAGTACTGACGTTCCATCCGCGCGGCCTACTATGTTTCTATACGCACAACTTAAAAGACATCCCTCGTATTGCTATAGTCGCACCTTGATTAGCCTCCATCTGCTGTACATATCGTAGTTTTACGATAAACTATTTACTTCTTCCCACGTCATCAAGCAATAATCATACTGTACCGAGCAAAAGTGGAGAAATATTTTATTTTTTTAAAGATTTCATTAAACTATTAAAGTAAACCAAACACTTATGTTTGATTATAACTTAATTTAACATGTAATTTAAAGCCAACATGAAAATAAAATTTCTGCTTTAATAAAACTATGCTAACAATTATTATTAGAAAATACAGCGAGCAAAAATAAAGAAACATAATATACAAAGCAATTGTCGTATACAAAGAAGCTAATACTTGGTTGCATAACCTTTATTTTTGATAACTGCTAGACATCTTTTTCTCATGAAACCAATTAGGCTATCTATTGTTTCTTTTGGAATAGAATTCCAGGCGTCTTCGATTGTTTCAAATAGTTCGGCACTATTTTTGAACTTTTCAGTTCGAATTTTTTTATCAACTAAATCCCATAGGTTCTCTATGGGGTTAAGGTCTGGACTCGGAGCTGGCCACTTAATGATATTAATATTGTGATCTGCAAAAAATGTTTTTATCATTTTCGCTGTGTGCTTGGGGTCGCTGTCGTGCTCGAACCGCCAGCGTAGAGGCATGTTGTCTTCTGCGTAAGGTAGCATGGTATCAGTTTGTTAATATTTCCAAGTATTTGTACCGGTCTATAATTCCTTTGATTTTGACGATGAGTCCCATTTGAAGACCACAGAAGCAACCCCATACTTAAACCTTGCCGCCTCCGTGTTTGATTGTGCTCAAAGTGAACGTAGGATCAAATCGCTTGTTTTTAGGACGTCTTACCCATAAAATGCCATCCGAAGAAAATAAATTTAATTTACTTTCATCAGAAAATAATACAGAACTCCACCTTGTTTCTGACCCGTTCAAATTATCCGATTTTTCTTGGAAATAAAGGGTCTTTTAGATGGTCTCCTTGCTGCTAAATCACCCTCCCTTAAACGTCTTTGAACAGTGTGGACAGCAATATGTACTTCTTCAAGTTGAGCTTTTATGTCGACAACAGTAGTAAATGGATTTTTAAGAGCAAGTGTTTTAATTTTCCTATCAATGCTAGGTGTGGTTTTTCGCTGTCTACCAGTCTCAGGAGGGCTTACCAACGATTTTCTGTGGCGGAACAGCTTAATAGTCTTGCAAATTACCGATCGGCTTAAATTCAGCTGTTTGGCTATGGTTGCTTGTTTAATGCCTGATCGATATTTTAAAATAATCAATACTTTTATTTGCAAATTCGATGTAATTCCTCTGGCCATGTTCTTGAACTACACTTTGCCAAATACACTAAAAAATAACACCTATTCTAATCAACGACTAAATATAGACTAAATATTTACAAAACGTTTCACTACTTTTGCACGTTGAACAAAGAACCTACCGTATTATATTGAAAAAAAAAGAATTTATACAAAAACAAGCATTTCATTATCTTGAGGTAGTCATACATAAAAGACTTTAGTGTACAGTTTTGGGTTAGAGTAAATCTTTCTGGATTTTCATTTGTAATGTGGTTTGTTTCTCTACTTTTTCTGTACTGTAAATGTAAATTATCTCGGATTTGAAAAAATACCGTTTGTGTTCTGTGACATATTTATTATAATAGTGCCTTTTTACGTTACAATGCCATGTAAAAATGGTATAAAAAATCTAAAGAATGTTGAATGACGCAAGTTTGCTACTTTATCTCATCTACAAACTGCAGAAAACTGAGCGTTTTTTAAACAAAATATCCTCTTATTAAACGCTGTGACAAGCCTGAAAGAATGCTATGATCCGCATCAAGCCAAGTCAAATATTGCATTGGCAGGTTCGCCATACGTCAGAATATACTGTCCTGCATTGGATATTGCGTTAAGGTTAATTATCCCAAAAACTCAGTAAAATAAAAATAAGGGAAATTCGGTATCTAATTGTCCTTGAATCACGTCATAGGCAGCTACTTTTACTGTTTAGATACGTTCTTGTTACTCATAAAGGAAGTATAAGGTCAAGACGCAGCAGGTACAATATTGCCGTTGCCTAAGAGCAGATTTGTGTGTAAGATGGTGGTAACGATTTGCCTGAGAGGGAACTATAATGGAATCGCGCGCTGTCCAGGCCAGTTTTAAAATTGATAATGTGCCATCGCCATGTTATCACGGGTTCATAAAATTATGTAGTCAGTAGCTTTTTCTTGCACTGTTAATGTGCTTACAACACAACAGCACATCATATAGTCGCGTATGCCAGCGCGCTAGCTTAGCACAGATACGCCGATACAATGCCCTTTAATCGGATATTCAGCAACATTAATGCTCTTAAAAAAAGGAAAGGTAAAAATACCTCATTTAAATTTTAAGATAGAAATTAAAGGTACGGAAGTAATCTTGTTTCTCATTGTGAGCAGTGTAGTCTAATACAAACACATTGCCAAACGATATATTTTAATCGCTTCAGATGTAATTGTTACGCCGAACAAATTTTGGATTACGTGTACAGGGTGTTCCTTAATGATATGCAAATATTTAAGGGTGTGAATTTGCATGAAAAATTAATGTTAGTTTGCTCTATAAACTATGGTCCAAAAATGTTTCCTTACAAAAACTCGGGGTGTTGAAGTTTTAGGAAATGGAAATTAATTAATACTTTCAGAACCGCTTCAGATATTTCACTGATACTCAGTACGTGGTGAAAGTTAATAAAGTTGCATATTTTTCAGTGCAAAAATAATTTTTAGCTTTAACAGTGGCGTGCGTACGGGTGATGACTACGATATTTTTTAAGAAAAAAATGGTACGCCAATGGTTTTTTACCAAATGAAAATTATTTTTGATTTGCCCGTTTGGAAAATAATTATTGATATCCATTTTTTTCCTAAAACTTCAACACCCCGAGTTTTCGTAAGAAAACATTTTTGGACCAGAGTTTATAAAGCAAACTAACATTATTTTTTCCTGTAGATTTACACCCTTAAATATTCGCATATCATTAAGGAATACCCTGTATATTATATACGTAATCAAAATTTGTTCGACGTAACAAAGACATCTGCAGCGATTGAAAGGTATCGTTTGTTAATGCGTTTGTATTAGACCACACTGCTAGTATAATCTAAAGTGTACAGATTTTTCCTAATAAACCTTGTACTTCGATTGACTTACATTCCCGCGTGTGTTAATTTTCTGCGTTCGCAATCGTTCTGTTCGTTTTAGGCTAATAGCAGCTAGCACACCTCCATCGTGAGTCTAACTACGGCGTCCTAGAGATGCCAGCGAAACGATAAGGGAGAATTCGTGACTCCCGGGCAATATTTTTTCCTTTATCTGGATCCACTTAATATTTTTAGAGTAGTTGGATCGATTACGTGCTCGAGTTTCGGCTGCTAGGGGATAATCCGGCGACGAGTCTGATAGAAATTCGGATTTGCTAGGTCGGGTCACTGGAGTAAGCCACTGACTCAAAAATAATGCGTCAGCTTTTTCCATTGTATTATTTTAATCGATCAGAAACCAACTACAGTTGTCTTGGCATTCTAGTAGGTTTCAAGATGTTATTGATCGTGGTAGACGGAACCGCAGAAGCATCGTTTATTAGAAAACGAAACAATGTAAAATAGCTACTGCCAAGTGCAGATTTTCACAACATTGCTACAAAACATTGGCAAACCGCACGGGTGTTACGTATCTTGAAAAGTAACACTATGTCGATTTTTTTTGACATTGTATTGGTTTTTTGTGACATCATGTTGGGTTTTTCTACAAGGTGTTAACTTAGCACTAGCTGATAATAATAATAATAATAATAATAATAATAATAGCGTTTATTGTCCAACAGTTACCCTATTTATAGGACAATTACATAAGCATAATTAACTAATATTCAGTGGTGTTAAAAAAAAAGTTATTTCAAATACAAATAAGCCATTCTAACTACTGAGTTAAGCGAACAAGTAAATATATCACAATGACAGCTAATACAATTTACATGTTTACATATAACATATATAATTTCATTGGATTCTAGTCTCAAATACACTTACTTGAGGTTCGAGGGTTGAAATTAGTTGCACATTCACTTTTTCTTATTCATTCTAGAAATTACATACGCAAATTTGCTTAATTAATCAATAAGAAAGGAAAATTCCTGGTTGGTGAAGGAACAGGTGCGAAAATATGCTACAGGCAGGAATATTTATGAAAGTAAGAATGTTATTACATTACTGTTTATTTCCAGTCACTTAAATTTCATAGAAGTCTATTTTGCGATGTCAATAGGAACAACAAATCAGCGCCTAGACGTGAGGAATTGCGAAAATGTTTGACGTTTGTACCGTCATAACTAATTTTTCTGTGGTGGGGCTAACTGCACATAACGCGGGCGCGGCGGCGATTTCTCATAGTGCTCCTCAAAGTTTTTAAAAACACCAATAAACGGGCAAAATCGTAATTTATAACTTTGAATACAACCTGTCTACAGAAGTGACAACATATAAATAACCCGTCGGGCACAGCTAATAGATATACTCCATTGGCAGCATATTTAGTAATAATTTTCTCACATAGC